TGGTGTCCACAAGTATGGAGAACAATAGCCTTTTATAGGTGTCATTCCATTATCTTACTTACTTGTTGGGTTTTAGGTACGGTTTAGGGTTCACCGCCATGCAAACCTAGACATCAGCCGCGAAACCCTTGAATCGATGTTCAGCGCTGAGCGTTGTTAGGGTTCAAGATTTCGTTCTCGCTGTTCAGTGTTTAGGAGGGGTAATGATCATGTTGAGAGTATAGGTCGTAGGGTTCGCCCGAACCCTAAGCCGCAAACCCTTAAACCCTGGACCCTAAACCCTAAACCCTGTGAGTTTCCAAGGTATCCAGCCCAGTCATGCTGGCCGGCGGCTTAAAGCAAGGCTTTTCCTGGACACACGGCCGGCAGAATTTCGGACTTAGCTTCGAAACCATTGAGCCCCTGCACCCAGCACCCCCAAAACCACTGAGTTTTTGAGCAACAAACCCCCTAAACCTTAAACCCCTAAACCCTAAACCCTAAACCCTAAACCCTAAACCCTAAACCCTAAACCCTAACCCGGTACATCCCTGAACCCCAAAGTTCGTTCGATTTGAGCGTTCAGGGTTGCTCTCTGTTTTGTCGGACCGATGTCCTGTTGCCTCGTAGTTGGCACAACCAGTACAAAAACCTGAGCCCCCGAAACTCTAAAGAACCCCTAGACCCCCAAGCCTAAACCCGAAACCTTTTTGATGAGGTGGCACCGTGAAAAGCTTTAAAACTTCCCTTGGGGTTCCTATCGAGGTACCGATTTATAAATACTTATTTCAGGGCCCCAGAACTACAACCCAGTTGATCATGAAGCCTTTAATGGCCCTGCCCTTCAGACGTAAACGACCTAAACCTTAGAGCCCAAACCCTGACCCCTTCCAGTTTCAAGCGGGACAATTCCAGACCCAGGCAGGCAATTACAAGACACTATACTATACTACACTATACTATACTATACTATACTATACCATACTATACTACACTTACTACACTTACTACACTATACTACACCATGCTATACTATTTTGTACTACACTATTATCGTGTACCTGCATGTGGACGCCCAATAGATCCCCGCCGATGCAGCAGACCGTCGGGTCAGTGCTCAGGACCGTATACGCCATAGAGTATAAACTTAGGGTAGCTTTTAGGGTTCAGGGCGTAGGGGGTTTGGGGAAACGGGCTTCGTCCTGATCTTGGGTCCAATCGCATGGACAATGATCGCCATGACACTTCGAGAGAACTATATGCAGTGCTGCTGCCAAGGCCGCAGACAGGAACTGCCCCCTGCTCGCTTCCTCTTAGGGCTTCGTGTTTAGCACAGGTTGACATTGTACTTCATGATAGTCTGTAGGGTGGAGAAGCCCGGCTGGGCACCACACAGCCCCGTGCTGCTGGCAGCAACTGCCTCCCCCCCGACCGGCGAGGCCCAGCTGACTTGACACACCAGGGCCTTCGACAAGAGTGGAGCTGGCGGCAGCTGCGACGGCATCTGCACCGAATCCGCGCCTTCAAAGCACAGTTGAAGGACCGATGCAACGCCTGCTCCCGTCGTAGACGACATAGCCTTAGGAGCGTGTATCGGCACAGTAGCTACGGTGAAGCCACGATGCCGCGGCCTTGCGCTGCGCTGAATCCACTACATGGGCTTAGGCTATTATCGCCCTACCACGATGTCGATCTGTACATGGCAACCGATGGCCATATGGTATAGAGTCTAAACGCGTGGATTCAGATTTAATTTGCGTGGGCAAGACAGAACCCGTAATGCATGCATGCCGGCAGGTCAGAGGGCAAAATGACAGTTCTAACAAGTGCAAACTGCAGCGCAGCCCTTTACGCAACCCAAAGCCCTAAAACCCGTACACCCCTAAACTCCTAAGCGCCTCACCCTCAAACCACTAAACCCCAAAAACCCCCAAATCCCAAAACCACAAAACCCCGAAACTCTAAACAGTAAACGCCCTAAACCCCTAAACCCTGAACTCGAGGCTCATCCCCTCGCAAGATGAGTCGGCAGTGGCCATTGTCGGGGCCCTACAGGGCCACTTGAAGGATCGACCGACTCAGGAACCTAGTGGGGTTATAGGTTATAATTAGGGTTAGGGGTTCCAAGTTGAGTGTTGAGGGTTATTTAAGGTTTATAGGGTTCAGGCTTGTGCGGCTTTATGGTTTAAGTCTTTTGGCGCAATAGCCTTGTTCCATTCCAGCGACAAGTTAATTCTGAAAGAGCTTCGGGCCTGCATACTCTCTGGGGCTTGAGGGTTCAAGGATTTGGAGTTTAGGGGTTAGGGTTTAGGTATGGGGCTTGAGGGTTCAAGGGTTGCGATTTAAGCTATCGACTTTCCCGGTGTCAGGGTTGAGGGGGTGTGAAGGCACCAAAAAATAGGCTGAATCGTCAATCATTTGTATATCCACAACCACACAGGGTTTACTTCAGGCTAAGGTTGGTGGTCTGTCTTTGATTCAGGATCCCATGGTTCAGCCGCAAACTATCAAATCTGAGACTCCTTATGTCCGTATAGAACCGAACCTGTGAAGAACCCCATACATTACTTGCAGCGCCTTTCTGGATATGTAGATTATCGGACTATGCAATGGGATGTGAGGTTTCACGGCTTGCTGTCTATGTGGTTGGGTCTTTACACGGCTCAGGTCTTTGAGGTTTGGGCGTAGGGTTCAGGGTTTAGCGTCTCATGTCTGCATGGCTTCCAGTTGGAGACGGTTGTGTACTGCGCGCAGATCGGGTAAATGCGGCTTTACTTGTACATGCTCCTGCCTCCTGACCATATTCATCATAGGTGCCGAAAGGCCACATTTCCAAGCCCTGATGCGATGCCTGGCCATTCCTAAGCCGCACCACCATCACTCACAAGCATGTGGCCATATCCATCATGATTATTAAACTTCAATCCCTAAAACCCCAAACCTTCAACCGAACAGCCCACCCAAGAAAGAGATAACCTCTTACAGAACCCTTCATAGTATGGGACCCTTGTGGAACCCTTATATAATGGAATTACTGAAACCTTAAACCCTATAAGCTCCAAAGTCTAAAGCCATGAGTCGACTTTACCCATATCAGCTCCCACAGACGAATCCCCCGCCATCCGACAACAAAAAATCGAACATCGCACGACTTTACCAAAGTCAGCAAAAGTAGGTAGAAAAAAGGCACACGTGCAAAAGGCTATTTTTCTACATACGGTCCAGGCAAGTCCTCAAATCCCGAAATCGTAAAACCCCTCTACTCGAAACCCTAAGCCCCAAGCCCGATCTTCAGCACAAGCCCCAAACGTTAAACATGAAGCCCGAAGCCCCAGACAGTTGAAAGTCTGGCAGAGCCAGAACACCATAGCCTTCACGCCTTTCGGTTCTTGCCTGCTCCATTGCCCCTAAACCCTAAACCCTAAACCCTAAAGCCATGGTTTCCGGCGATGCACTGGAGCCGTTCCTGGATGGCGCAGTCAGTTCCCTTGCGGCAGTTATAAACGGCTCCCTGTAGAGTTCCTTTGAGGGTTCTGTGCCTGTTCAGGGTTTAGGGCTTGCGGGGTTTGGGGGCTTTGGGGTTTGGGGCTTGCAGTGTTTTGTGAGTCTGGGTCGAGGGTTTCTTGGTTATGGTGTTTGGGGTCCGGAGTCATCCCACTAGCCCAGGAGGTGATAACGCAGCATCGCAAAGTCGGTATTACCATAAAGGGGCCGGGTGTCCTAAACCCTACTCCCCAACTAGACCTTAAACTGTAAAGCGGTGCGACCGGACTTTAGGTAACTCCCCAACTCTCTTTTTACGTATCTCCTGCAAGACTTCCCTTGTTGGGTATCGGTCTCTGTAGGTTCCTCAGTAAAACCCTTGTGCCCTTTTTATTGTAGGGTCTCCTTATCAAAGCCGAGCACTGGGAAAAAGGGTCCCCTTATTATTCAAGGGCTACGGGGGAACCTTCATGGTTTAGAGACTGCAGCGCTCGATCAGCCTGAGTCCTCAGACCCAACAGTAAGCCCTTCACCGGCTTCTTGCTGCCTTGGGAGATTTTTGTCAGAGTAGGGTAACATTTTGCATTTTTATGGGCAAAATAAGAACCACAAAGCGGAACTACTCAGGGGCCTATGGGTAGGGTTTAGGGGAACAACCAGCTGCGCAATCCGCTCCGGCAGTTGCAGGGGACATGGCTCTCATTGAGCTTGTGGATAGCGGTCAGAGGAACCTAAGAATCTAACACCTTCTTGTAAACAGGGACCTATGAAATCCTTCTGAAGACCCTAGCAAATCTCATGAGGGACGCATAAGTCGAGGCTGGATGAACCCGCTATGCGACTCTGATAGGGTTTAGGGTTTAAGGTTGAGGGCCTACACATACCCCATGCAAAACGGAAAGCAAGAAGACGTGCTCTGAGGCGTAGAGCTCGGCGACGGCTGGCTGCGCCCCTGGCGCCTCCGTCTGCTGGCCTTGCCAAGGGTTTCAACCAAGATTTTGGGGTTTGGGGGGTATTTCGGGTTTCCGCTACTTTAAGGGTTCCTTGAAGCATTCCCTTCAATCAAGGGTTCCTAAAAGGCTGTATATAAGGGTTCCTCAAAGTACTTTTCGGCTGGAAGTTTGGGTTCTAAGGGGCTGCTATACGATCGGGTTGTGCAGTTTCACATGGGATTTTGCAGGCCGTAACAAAAGGGGTCTTGAACTAAAGGGGGGAGGATTCGAGCTTCGGGTTAGCCGGCTAGTAGAAGGGATTTAAATAGTGTTCAGGGTTTAGGGTTTAGGGTTGTAGCAAATGGCTTAAAAAGGGTTACCAGTATTTAAAGGAATATAGACCTTAAATCAGATCAGGGAGCCGACTACAACTGAAAGGAGCTTCTCTAATGCAGGGCTCTTGGAGGGTCTGGGGTACTAGAAGTTCGGTTCGGTCTAGACTCCAGGGCCCTCATTAGGGCGCGTCTCAAAAATCTTGCATTCAAATTCTGGTGAAACATGTTTGGTTGCTGAGTCTCCCGGTCGTCGCTGCCAGAATTTGGCTGCCGTTGTTCTGGGTCCTTCGGAGGACTTGCCTGCTATGTACTCCCGGATCCACGAGGAGACTTCGAGGGAGGGCTCGAAGTGCCTGGCTAGAGAGGCCAGCGAATCCTCCTCAGTAGGTATCAGGCCTTGACGGCGTTCGGCAGCTGTCGGCATGCGAGGTCCAAAAACCAGGGGTGATCGCTGAGGTGGTGCTAAGCCCTGGAAGGTGCTCCACTGTCCAGCCTTTACCGCCTTGTGACGTCTGCGCGACGGTGCCTCAAGGCGGCAGATCTCTTCCTTTCCAAGAGGAGGGAAGAGCCGGCTACAGCGCTCAAGGCAGGGCAAGGAGCACTTCAAGTGCTGCTGAACCTGAGGAATGACAGCGAAGAACCGCATGCAAGCAACGCAATGCTCAGTGATGGCATAGTGACGACTCGGGCTCAGATGTCCGTGTGATTTGGCCATGTGCAGGCCAAGATGCTTCCTAAGCACAAACCTCTTATTACACACAGGACACTGGTGGGGTAGTGCAGTGACGGTATCGGGACAGGCCTCGTGTGAGTCTGTCTGTGGACCGTGCTGAACCGGAGGCTCAGGAGCTTGCTCTGTAGGAGCGGCGACCGGAGTGGTAAAGCCTGTGCCTCCTGTCTTGGCCAGCCGAGCAAGGTCCTCAGCAAAAACCTTGATGGCTTTCCGCACCTGGCTGGTCCACCAACCTGGCTCCGCACGGCCAGCCTCAACTAGGGCTGGTATCTCTTTTCCAGGAAGGAGCAGGCAACGGATGCTCGGCACATACTCCCCAACGCAGGCGACGTCATCGGCAAGTTGTGACAGCCATGAAGAAGAGGGGTGAAGGAGAAAATGCGCACTGAGAATCCCAAACAAGGTGTCATCGGACGACGCCAGCACTGTGCGCAAAAACTTTGCCCGTGCTAAAGCAATCGCAAGTGGCGGCGACGGGGCATTCGCAAGATGCAACACCTTATAGGGGTGAAAGTGCACGTCTGGACCAGTGCGCTTGCATAGGTTGCGCCACAGCGCAACGAAGTGACGCTCCCACACTCTAACATGACAAGCGGCTCGCAGGATGAGCGCCGCACCAGTGTGTGTGTGTGTGTATTTGGCCATGACTAGCGAGGAGAGCAGGCAGCGTCGCACAGAAAGGTCGAAGGCTTGCGACCCAAAAAGCGAGCGCCTGAGGGGTCTGGCAGTACCCTCCGCCTTGGCGGTAGTACAGATCCGGCAATGGGCCCGTGGTCGAGGTCAGGATGCCTCCAAGGTGCTTGTACACAGCCACTATCGGCAATTCGCAGGCGACCTGCCTGGCCGTGTCTTGGATCAGCAAAAACCGACCACCGGTACTGGAGTGGTTGATGGCGAGGGCCTCGGACCGGACTACCGACTCAGCAAGCATCGCTGCAGTTTTTTCGGAGCCGAACTTTATCGTCATGCCCATGGTGGTGGCATGAGAAGTCAGCAATGATGCAGAGCCAACCACCTCTTGGATGAGAGGTGTCCAACGCGTTTCAAATAAGCTGACAGGGTAAACGCGAAAAGGACATCTGCACAGGGGTCCCCTGGCCGGGAACCCCTGTGCGTGAGTGTCAACGCTGCCTGTTTGTGCAACCTAAACCAGGTTCCGGAGAGAAGGTCACGGACCATCCCCTGAAGGTGCTCGGATACACTCAGCTGGGGCAGGGCTGCAAGCTGACTGAGGTGATTCTTCAACTCATGAAGGGCTCTGTCGGGAGCTGCAGGGCATGTAACACCTTGAGGAAACCTTGATCGGAGTCCGGGTCGGCAACAAGGCTCTGTCTCACCACAGAGTAAAAGGCTGCAGAAAGGTCGTAAAAGACCACAGCCCACGGTTTGCGGAGTCCATGCATCTGACAGATGAATGTCCTCACCGCAAGGGCAGGCCATTCAATGCCGACCCCTTTCTGCACACCTCCCTGCAACGGCGGAAGCGACGGTACGAGGCGCTGTGCAAGGCGGGTCCTGATGCACTTGTGGTAGATCTTTCCTGCAAGGTTCGATACCAAGATCGAGCGGAAGTTCTCGCACTTGAGAACGGAGCCGGCCTTTTTTGCCAAAACCATCAGGTCGCCACCACGCCATTCCACGGGTTCGTGCAGCTGCAGCGCGGCTTTGAGAAGCAACGGGGCTAGGCGACGTGCTGTCGTCGGTGGGTGGAGCCTAAAGACTTCGCCTGTCAACCCATCCGGCCCTGCCGCCTTGCCATTGCGGAGCCGAAGGATGGCTTGCTCAGTCTGGGCAAGGGTCGGTATCACTTGAAGGTCAAAGACTGTCTCCACTGCACCTGTGGCCTTGTCTGCCCTGGCACATATGCGGGTATAATCCTGAGGGGTGATAAACTCCCCTGCCTCCTGACTTGAGAAATGGAGCCGCCAGCATTCGGCTCTCTCTTCGGAAGAAACAGCAATCTCTCCATCCTGTTTCACAAGGACAGGGAGTGGAGTGAAGCGACTGCGCCGGGATGCCTGGGCCTTCGGGAATGCCTTGCGTATAGCCTGGTAAAGTTCCTTCGGGCTACTGAGACTGCAAGAGGCTGCTGTGTCAGCTAAACCCCTGAGGTAGGTTCGCCGGTCGGCAGCCACAGCCGTGCGGAGTTGCTTGCCATACCAGTGCAAAAGACCAACAGCTCGTGCAACACTGTGATCAATCTGGGACAGCCAGGTGCCAGCTACAGTCCGTGCTCTATCTGAGAAATGGCTGCCATTCCTGCAGTGGCAAAAGGCTGCAAAGCCGATGATGGCAAGGCGTCGATTCCATTCGAGGTTTTCAGCCTTAATGTACCTGCGGAGCTCTCCCCGAATGTCAACTAGTTCCAAGGTAGCAGGCTGCAGATACTGCTGTGTTGGCGCTTGGCGGGCAGCAGGTGCGAATTGGGTCGCAGTTTGCAGTAGCTGGGAGGCCAAGCACGCAAAGTGGCTATCCACATCAAGTGGCCAAGCTACGGGAGGTATGGCCTGCAGAGCCGTAATGACCTGCCCTGTGTTGTATAGCTCAGACGGGGGCCGCAAAGTGTGTTTCTGGCTGACCTGATAACTTTCTTTAGGACCATCCCTGGCAAAAGTGCAGAAAAGGGTAGCTGGGAGGTGGTCAGTTCTGGTTTGCAAAAACTCGATATCCTCCAAGACTTGAGAGCTGAGCCCAAAGCTTTTCCATCTGCTAGGCACAATGACGAAATCTAGCCTGTGCCAGTCGCCTCCGGGCTGCTTCCATGTGCCTGAAAAGCCTGAGTGAAAGGTTGGAAAAGTCGAGGGCAAGCAAGCATCAGTACTCACCAGAAATGAGTGAAGCAGCTCACCTGCCTCATTTTCGGGTTCCTCATCATGAGAACCGATGTGTTCGGAGACAATTGAACCGACCCGAGAGTTCGTATCTGCCAGGAGGAGGAACTCAGAACCCTCCGGTCTTTTTGCCAACTCCTGTGAGCGGCTGTTCCAGAACTCCCGAACGACTTGAACTGGGTGATTGGCAAGCGAAGGCGCATGCAACACCATCACGGTCAGGCGCAGCCGCCTCGAGAAGACATTTGCAACTAGATGGCGGGGCCCGTACGAGGTGACCGTAACATCAGACTCGGAAACAAAGAGTTTGCCGTCCGGGCCCTCAGCATATGGTACATGCCGGGCAATCCACAAAGCACAGCCTCCGACCCCAGCAGGAGTAGCAGAGGATTGCAAAATGATGTAATCCTGATCTGGTTGACCGGCATCCTCGCGTAACCGTGTCTCCTGGATACCCAGAAACAGCGGAGATAGTGTCTTGAGCGCATGCTTCAAGGCGAGCTTACGGCCTGTGATTCCCAGACCAGCAAGTTGCTCCTGCACTTTCGGCCCCCCTTTGTCGCGCAGGGTGAGGGCATTGAAGGTCACGCACCTGAAAGCATAATGGATCCTGCCCGCGGCAAGCTGCTGCTGGGTCTGACCCTGTCGGGGTGGATCCCAGGAAGGCTGTGTGGCATGCTGTAGCCGTGCAGCTTCACTCTCCAGCGAGAAAAGTGTTGGCACATCTGGCTGGTTGGGCAGGGTGGCCCAAGCCCATGTCAACATGACATGCTTGCTGAGGCGTGAGGGCCACAGTGGCAAACATTTGTGCCAAGGGTCTTCGCCCTGTCTTCTGGCACGCTTTGCGAGTTGGTCAACTAGCTCATTGGGGATGTTCCCACTATGCCCTTGGACATGTGAATGCTGAAGCTGGGCCCGGCTCTGAGCATAGTGGCGTAAGGCAATAGCAACCTCTGCGACCTTGGAGGTGGCCGTGGAGTCCTCAAATGGTGCTCGGGCTGTGCCAAAAACAGCTTGGCCAACTCCAGTAGCATCGTACCGGAAATGAACGGGCACACGGAAATGCCAGCCGAATTCCGATACCCAGGCCAGACCCCAAATAATGCCTAGGTATTCTGCCGTTTGTGCTGTGTCATCGCATTCGCCGACATGGTACGGCAATTCCGGAGGCGAGGCTATCGAAGAGGAGTGTCCAAGAAGAAAAGACCCAGAAGAGCAGTGCAACCAGACGGCAAGTGCCCATGCACATGGCACCAGGTCCTCCGGGCTGGTGCTTGCTGAGCCGTCGGTGAATACCTCAACAAGGTACGGCAACGGTTGGCCCTGCTGGTGCCAGAGTTGCAGGTTAGCAAAGGCTGTTCTCAGAGCCAGTGGTATTTTGCGGTCATGCAACAACGAGTCGAGCTCATTGTCGAGCCAATCTTGGTGGGCGTCCAGAGAGGCAGGTTGTGCGTGAGGAAGGACTTGTTCAAGTCCCAGCGCTCGCTGCTGATGCACTGACAGGGGTCTGGCATCAGCCAGCCTGATCCTGGTAGGGGCCTCTACCAACGCCTGGCCTGATGAACCTGATGGCTGCATGTGGACCTGTTGGCTGTCTTCTTGGTGCTCTTCCAAGACCTCCAGCAGCGTGGCAGCTAGGAAGAAAGCCTGGCACTCAGGATCCTGGACACATTGTGTCAACAGTGTGGGCCCTATCTGTCCGCTTAACTCCTGCAAGTCAGAGTTGTCATCATCCACCGGAGCCGCAACAGGCAGGCAGTGACTGCAGCAGGGGGTGGGTAATGTCCTAGACCCAGTGTTTGGGCGGAGCTGCTGCGCAGCAGGTTTGTTGTGTGAGGGTACTCCAAGCTGGACTGCTTGAGCCCCGCGCTGACATAGAAGAGCATTGAATAGGCCTATTGCAAGGACGAGCCGACCGGTCCTGCGGTTGAGACCATGAAAGCAAGCTATGACGAGTAAGGCCACAGCCTCCTGGCAAGAGCTCTCAATGTCGTTGGCACAAAAAAGGAAAAGACACCAAACGCTGCAGAGTCCAACAGCAAGAAGGAAAGGGGTGAGGTCATGGTGGCCTGTAGCAAAGGCGTGGTGACTGGAACCATGACTCCACGTATCCTGCTTACAAGGACATCTACGGTGTCGGGCTGTGTGGCGGTCGGAGGCAAGCTCCGACTGTTGTTCCGACCGTGGCTCCCTTCTAGAAGCATTATGTTCAGGGGAGGCATCCGTAGGAGGGCCTGTCATGGGGCTGACTGCCGTGAAGGCCCGACCACTCGGCTGGTCGGAGCTGTCATCATCATCCTGGTCGGATGCAGGTGTAGAACCTGTGCTGTGATCTGAGCTTGAACCTGTGTCGGACTGGCCGGGCTCGTCCATAGCAGGCAGGATAGGCACCCAAGGTCGGTACATGGCAATGAGAATCTGACCGGGTCTGACGAGGATTCTGCCATCAGGCAATGGTTCAGGATGCACGTGTAGCTCCCAATGTGGGGGAACAAATGTGCCTATATCCTGTTCCAACTCTGGAAAGGTCACAACCCCGCTAGAGCAGAGCACAAGCCAGCCCTGCAGGAGGGGACGACAATCCACAAGAACCCCAAAGCGGTGACCGGCCTGAGGCAGCGCGGCTAGAACAGTACGGCAGGCAATGCCGTACACCTCGCAGTCAACAATCTGTGGGTCGGATGGTGTGATTTGCATGTCTCTGGGCGACAAGCCTGCTGCATTGGCAATCTCTGAGCGCATGGCCCAAGGCTGTGAGGGGTCCGTTGCATAAAGAAAGTGACCACGGACTGAAACACAACAGTAACAGGTGGTGCGTGGCACTGGAAGATCCGGACCGTCTCGCCAGACCGTGTTGTCGTGCAGCATTTCCTCAAGAAAGTAGGCTTGTACAGGCTCTCCAGTGCGTGTGATGTGTAGGCAGAGGCCTGGAAAAATCCTGACCTCGTGGCCTGAGACCAGAAACAGTCTATCCATAGCCGAGTAGACCTGCACAAAGTTCTCAGGAGGAATGCCTGCGAGTCGAAGGACAGCGTCCCGGTCAGCAAAAATAGGGGACTGGACCGCAAACAAAGCACCATTGTATGCCCTGGCATCCAAGATGAGGAGGCGCTCGTGCGGGCTCCAGAGTGGGGTGGCTACCAGTAGACCCCATTGAGAGGCTGGCTGCGGCACTGCTGCAATCAGGTGAGGGAAGGCCTCCGCTGAAATGCCAGCACGGGCAGCTTGGACGCAGGCAAGGGCCTGTGCGCATGTAGCAGGCAACGAGTGCAAGATCCTGACATGTTCTGGCCTATAACCTGGGACAACGATGACAAAGTGCAACTCTCTGGGCTCCTGTCCCTGACGAGGCTCGACAACAGGTATGGGCCTGTGCAATTCGAGCCTGGCATAAAGGTCCCAAGCTTCTGTATATCGCCAAGGCAGACCAAACTCCCCTGCATAAAGACGGAGCGCTTCCAAACGTACAATGTCTCTGGGGTCGTCAGGGGCAGGCTCAGAAAGAATCTTGGCAGCGAGCCCACCTTCGGAAATAGTCTCCCAGACAGAGGACAGGGACAACTTTGACCTATCTATGACCCGAAAACCCCAAGCTTCATCAATGGTATGCTGGACCCAATCGAAATGCATGGGAGCAAATGGCAGCTCAACCTGTCCGGCCTTCTTGCAGGGGTTTGGGCCACAAGCTTTGGAGCAGGGGTCAGTTGCCGTGGGCGCCTGAGGGGATGCCTGTTGGTGCCCTCGGCTGCGCGACCTGGAGGGAGAGCGGAGAAGGGAAGGAGAGCGGGACCTGTGGGAAGCTCCTGAGGCTGAAGCAGTGCCTGTAACACCACCTGTGTGAGAGGTTCCATAGTCTCGCATGGGAACCGGCGGAGGTGGGCCTCTGGGGCGAGAGGGAGGACTGTCAGACTCATCCGAATCGTCTGAAGAATCAAGTGTGTTCTCACTCTCGGTATCGCCGGGTCTACATTCCCTGAACCCAAAGGTAACCGTGCAACCCTCAGTCAGGTGTAGGCAGCCATCATCCTCCGGGTGGGGGCGAAGGACGACCTTGTAGCCGGCTGGTGCAACAAGGTGCAACCATCGTATCAGAAAGGCTGGTGTAACACGCGCTTCCGGCAGCAGGACCTGTTCTACCGGGCGGTCGGCTTGTCGGGGATCGAGAAAGATAATGATGCTTTCTCTTTCCATAGTCGGAGACAGTGGGTAAATGGCGAGAGCATCCCGGCATGATGTGCCGTGTTCATCAATGTTGGCCAGTTGTCTCCCTGGGGGCGCTACGACAAGAAAGTTACCGGGCTCTCTGTCAATGAGCTCCGCAAGGTGTGCCAGGATGGGCACGTCCGGGAATCGTCTTGACGAATACAACATGTGTTGATCGTGGTACGTGACGTATAAAGGCCATTCCGTCCCAAAATCGGGAAGATCTGGCTCGGTGCTCCAAGCCGCCGGGAGATCAAGCCGTGATTGCAGCGGGCTACACCAAGCGGCTGTCTCATTGCGCAGCCGGAACTGTATGACACCTCCTGGGAAAGCAAGAAATGAAGCTCCCTCGGTCAGGGGTTGAGTATGCCCTTGAACGTAGGCCTGCCAGTCCCGAAAGCCTTGTCGGGCAGCTTCCTGTGCACAGTCTGCGTACGTCATGCGAACCCATTGGAAAGAGGCATATACTGGCCCACCCAGCGGACCAAAGTCAAAGACAACAACCTGTTTACCCACTGCCTGTGCCCACTCTGGGATGAGCACAAAGGATGCATAATCCGAAGCAATTTGTGGTAATGTGGGCACAATGCTCTTGGGGAATTGCAGGTATAAGGTATGCAAAGCGGAGTTCACCTCTGCACATATCCCTTCAGTGGTGATGGGGAGATGCAGTGCCAGGTGAAGGATCTCTGCTTGGTACCTTGGTGCCATGACGAAGCAATATGCCTGCACATGTTGTCCTTCGGGCTGCTGTGCTTCAGTCTCTGTGTGGGGCGGCACCGGAATATGTGCTGCATCCTGCAAAAGCTCCGAGGGAATCAGCCTATTCGGGACCACATCATGCTGATGGTTTTGGGAGCTGAGTGCTGGAACTACATTGGTAGGGGAGACCGGCGGGGCATTATCATCAGTTGCAAAGGGTTCTGGGAGCAGCCTAGTAGTGGCAAGGATTATCTCAACCGCCTCCCCCCACGGCTTGGGGGCTGCCCAGACCTGCACCGGAAGGTGAGGCATGAGAAACCAGAAGTACCTAAGAAAGCTCCTAGAACCCGGGTGCAATCTTCTGCCCTGAAGCTCATCAGAGCTACGCCTTGGTCGCTGTGTGTCCTGCCTGGGTTTTTTCTCATGGCCCACGGCTGTGAGCAACAGCTGCTGAAAACGTGGCGATGCAAAACAGAAGGGCTGCAGCACACCTGAGGATATTCTGAGCTTAACACCCATGGCACCACGGACACACGGTGGCAGCTGTCGAAAGACAGGCCTGCAAAAGGATCTGACAAGCTGTAACATTAGGGCCCCAAGTATCCAAAAGGCCAAATGCACAAAGAGGGCACATGGCAAGGCTGTCCTGTGCGAATCGAGGCCAAGCTGCAGGAAGTCGTGCAAGAACGTGAAGATTCGCAAAAACGCGAAGGTGCCGCAGTCATGCTCAAGACTGACAGTACACAATTTGTGGCCTGCACTTTGTTGTGGCCTGGTTGGATGGCATGTTGGTTGTGGTGCTGGACGGTACCCCCGAGCCACCGATGTACCTGTTTGGCCCCAGCAATTAAAAAGCCAACTGTTATCCCGGAAAACTGAAACCTGGGCAGACAGGGCAGATTTCAAAGGGCCCGTAGTCGTAGTGTGTCTCGTTCTCGGCCAGTCATCAGCCTCCGCCCCTGAGCGACCGATGCGGATGTTGCGCGCCTGACGAATGCCTGGAGAACAAGAAAAGTCCGTAGTGGCCACATTCCAAAAGGGAGAAGGACCAAAAGGGAGCGAAAGGACACAGTGGGTCTCAAGAGACCAATGAAACCACTGTGCCCATGAGGAAGGAAGCAGGCATCTGCTGGGAGAGGCTATGTAAACCCAAGAATAGCTCTCCAGCTGGTGCCGCCGTGAAAATGCTGGACAATCGCAGCTCCAAATGGCCACACACCGAAAGAAAGGCAAAAGACCATACGGTGGCTGGAGGACCCAGGAAGCCTCAAAAGACCAATGAGGCCACTGTGCCCGAGAGGAAGTAAGCAGTGGACTGCTGGGAGGAGCCAAACCAAACCCCGAATGGTCTCCCAGTAGGTCCTGCAGCGAGAAAGCAGGACAACCGGGGCTCAGCGAAAACTGTACAGTGATGCTCTCCTCTTCATATACACTGTCCAGAGATCGTACTGAGTGCAGTGTCCGACAAACTTCCCAAATGGCTAACTGTACGACTGCTCTGAGTCCAAGGGGCTTTGAGTTTGCCAAAATTACTCCTTGAGGCCACAGGCAGTACTGTACATCAGGCTCACTCCGAAAGATATCGTTACCACATCCAAGCTCCAGGGCCGCATAAAGACAACGGAAAGACCCACCATCCGGTTTGCACCCGACTGTGCCTACTGACAGCCAGCTGCTACCTTCTGGGTAGGCCCGCCGCATCTCCTTGCAGCCGGGAGCTTGCTCAGATCGAGTTAGCCTAGCCCTTCCAGGCTCTTGTCTGGCTGAGCACTGTCCTTCTCCTGGTCCAAGTCGTCGTCCAGGATGTCGAAGGTCTGTAGTGGCACCTCTCCTGTGTCTTCCTGGGCAGTATCGGCCTTTGCGAGCTCTGCTGTCACAGCCTGTCGCTTGGCCATCAACTTGTCGCCAAGATTCGCTGGCACATGAGTGTGCACCGGGTGCAGAGCTGCTCCTTTCAATGGCTGTCGAGGGATCTTGGCACGTGGCCGGCCCGCAGAAGGGCTCGCAGTAGGCGCTTCCGCCCCTCTCGATGAGGGCGATGCCACATAGGGGGCCGGAGGCCCCGGCGGCGCCGAGGTCTTAGGGAGTGACTGATCCGTAGTGGCCGCTCCAGGGACGGTCTTGGCTTCCACTGGACCCGCTGGATTGAGTGGCGGTGCTGCTCCGTGGTGTCCGGACATGGGAACACCCGACATTGCTGCCATAAGTAGCCGGGCTGCTACATCGGGAGTCATGATGGCTCCGTGTAGCTGAGGATTGCCTTCTGTCGCCATCATCTGGGGTGGAGCCATCTGCGAAGGGGCCGTCGGTGCAGCTGTCGTGTGCGTCGTCATAGCTCTCCGGATGATGGCCTGAGGAGTCTCCATGTCTTGCTGCTCCTGTCTCCACTCTTGGGTGAGCGCTTGCCAGTCTCCGTCTCTGCCGTCCGTCTCCATGGGCTGGCCTGTCTCCATGAAGTGTTGAGCAACAGCGTCCCGGATGGCCTGTCGTGCTTTCTCCCTGTTTTCCGCTGCTGTTTCCAGCTCTTTGTCCATCCTCGCCATTTCTTTCTGGTGTCTCTGATGTTCCCTCAGATATGCTTTCTTGAGGTCCGCCTGGTACTTCTCCCATAGCGCTTGTTTCTGAGCCTTGGCTTTGAGGAGTCCACGGACTCTCTGCTCGGTCTTGCGGGTGTGGTTGATGCACTCCTGGACTCCAGAGGCCATATCCTCCGCAGGGGCATCCCATGACAAGTCGTAGGTCTTGCCCTTGCCGCCGGATCCTTTCTCTGACTGGGCCAGGGCCTGTGCTTGGCTCCGGGCATCGTAGGCCGGAAATGCTGCAACTGGTGGGTCCTGGCTGCCCCAACTTCTGTAGTCCTTCTGTCCATGTAGGCTGGGACTGTTCCACGTGCCTTCCCAGTACTGCCAGTACTTGGAAGGCTTGCCACCACCAGTGGCCTTGCCGTCCCATCCTCTGCCCATGCCTCGATGATAAATAGGACGGGAATGATGGGCTTCTAGTAGCAGAATGTCCCGCCTAGCAGGTGGAAGACCCTGCTGTCGCAGCCGGTGGACCCTGAGCCTAGCTCGGGAACGTCTCAGCCGGGCCAGTCTATGCCAGCTTGAGCTGCCTCGCACCGTGGCTCGAAAGAACGTGTAGATAGAACTACACTGGGGTCTCAGCTATCTCCGCTCCGCTGCTGGAGTGTTCTGAGCCCTGGGGTACTATAAGAGGCATTGTTCAGGCTTGGGGTTCAGCCTTTTCGGGTTTTGGGGCGTAAGGCACTGGGGCTCAAAGGGTGTTTGACAGGTTTTTATGAGGATTTTCGAGGGTGTTGCAAGGATCTAAACTCTAAACCCTAAACTCCAGACCTGGTCCGATGATACAGCT